TATATATATATATATATATATAAATACTTCTGATTATACAACAGCAATGAGTGAAAGTTGACTATTTGTATCTGGTTGTGGAACAATTTGTTTTCGAAAACGTAGATTTCAGTAAAATATTTTTGAACTGATCAATGGCTTCTTGCCAACTGAGTGAAAAATATTTCGAATTTCAGCGACACGACACGTGATTTTATAATGCGAGCGTGTTGCAGTATTCTAACAAATTTGAATGTAATAGTTGCAAAAAAATTATATTTGAAATTTAACATTTTCAAACATCTACACTGCATGTGGTGCCAGTAACATATACAACTTTACCGGTAACATACAGCGTGCTTGAAAATTTGACTGATAAATTTAGAGGTTTGATGAAAGGCATCAAGAGGAAGGGAACTGAAAGCCAAGCTGAAAAGGTGAAAACGGTAAAAAAATACATGCTCATAATTTACGCTGTTAAAAATTGCGCATCAAAATACGGTAAAAAGTACTGACATCATCCGTAAAGTTTATTTTACTGTAAAAATTTATACCGTAATTTTTACAGTAATATTCATTTAATTAGAGTGATTTAATGATTTCAGAATAAATATTATTGTAAAAATCACGGTACATCAGATTTTTTGTTCTGTAAAATTTTACGGTTAGAATAGATTTTTACGGTAAAAAGTTTTGGCTCCATGAGTGTTGGTACTTTTTACCGTGAGTCCATCTGGAATTTTTTTCTAGTGTAGAACGTCTGTGGGGTATAGACGCATACAAGGACCGCACAGCGCGTTCTGTCTCCTTTTCGGCAGACATCGAAATCCCACATGACATCTTCCTAGTGTGTTCGGAAATGTTTTTTTTTTGTCGTTGTAGATTGTGCATGTCAGCTGTGCCACTTTGAATAACTCTTTTCACTGCTGTTAGCATGTTGTTCCAGCATGATGTCAAAAATCGTACTAAAGACTACTTTTTTTTTAGTATGTTTTTTTCGCGATTTTTCATACTCTCGGCGTGGTTTGTGACCGTGGTTATGATAAGTCTTCATAACCCTTCTGAATTTCAGATTAATGCACACATAATTTGTCAAACTGGTAAAAATTAAACATTTGATGATTTACTTTCTGTTGCAGAAGTTCAATAGTGTTGCTAATTCTGTCAATGTCACCAGAAAGAATATCTACTGAATCATAGTTCAAATGAAGTAATGCTTGCAAACAATTGTGGCAGATGGTTCCTTCTCTCTAAAATTAAAAATGTGTTTAAGATAGAAGCTATTCTTAAAATACTTAAAAGCATAGAAAATCTTGTAAATATAAATAGTTAAACATATTGATACTCATTCATATTTTTAATTTAGAAGTTCAACTGATTAAAATTTTAGTATGACGAATTTTTTGTATGACAAACGAGCAATTATGTATGAACCTGCAATAGATTTCCATATTTGTTATTTTTTTCTTTTAGGAATGATTTTCTATAATTATTTGTTAATGTTTCAAATAAACAAATGAAATATGTAATCTCAGAAATCAGTGATTGTCAATCCTACTTGGACTTACAAGCGAGTGACTCGTAGAAATCCAAGCTATCACCGGTTGATTCGTAAATTGTTGTTGACCAGCTAAGTAAATTATTCTCTGTGAAAAAGGATTCCTGTTTTAGTTCTGTGTCAGGAAAATAGTGGAAGAATTTTACGGTTTTCTTCTTTGTACAACATGAAAACAGTTTAGATTCTAGAAAATGGTCCTGATTCTGGAGATATATATATGTGTGGCCCAATAGGTTATAAATTTATATAAAACTTACGTAGGTTAAAAGAGGAACGTTATCAGTTAAAGTTATTTCTAAAAGAAAATATTTTCAGCATTAAGAACTGTTGAAAACTAAATTGAAATAGTGATATTTGACATAATAATTGAATGCAAAATAAAACAATTCGGATCAAACTACGGTAAAAAAATTTCATAACTCAGGGTGTCCGTACTTCCTACTGTAAAATTTATATGTACCGAAACATGTTACGGAACAAAAAATCTGATGTACCGTAATTTTTACAGTAATAATTACCGTAAAATCTTTGAATCACTCTAATTAAATAAGTATTACTCTAAATATTAGGGTGTAATATTTTATGATGAAAAGGTACTTTACGATAAAATGGTTTTTACAGATAATGTAGAAAGTTCCGGCACTCTATACCGTAATTTGATCCAGAGTTTTTTGAAGTATAATAAATTCATATAATGTTTTAAAAAATTATAGCAGTTATAAAATGTCTGCAGTGATAATTAAAAATAAAACTTACGGATTCCGTTATTTGATTCATAATGTTGTCAATTTTCTCGTTTTCATTTTTTCTTTTCTCCGAAGACCAGAAGAAGTTTGTTGTACAAGTTGAAACAATCTGTAGAGCCTAAAAATGCAAAATATTTACATAAAAATTATCAATATAAAATTGCTAAGAATGTCCCATATACGAGCTGTATCATAAATGTAAATTTGAATGTATATTTTACACTATGATATTTAATATAAAATAACACTTTAGCTACAATTATCCTATTAGGCCAGTGTAATTCTTGTCAAAGTAAGTTTTTAAAATAAAAAATGAATAGTTTCCAAGCTCTTGTGAAAACATAAATGTTTTTGTTACAAGTAATCGTAAATCCATGAAATTGGGTCTGCTGTTCAACGACGGTTATAAAATAAAATAAAAATAAAATGCTTTCAGTGTTTATTTTGACTTTGTGATGCCACAACTAATGAGACAATACAACTCATAAAATTAATGAAAAATTTTCGTTTCATTCAAAAAGTTCATTTCTTTCAATGAAAAAACATTAATATACAATTCAATACTCCACTCTGTTTACAATCTCATTTTTAAACAAATTTTCATAACTTAGTAAGTGAGTTGAATTTAAGTATTTAATAAATTCAATGAGTTCTAGAAAAAATAAAGGTTTTTGTTGGTTTCTTACTTATGGTTATATAATATGCTTACATATGATATGTTTATTATAAAATGGTTTGTGTTACAAAATAGGTTTGTTTAAGCATGTTTTTTTTTGTTTTTCAGATTCGTTTCAATTTTGAATCCGACGATTCTTTTTCATTTTCAAGAAAATAAGGTCTTGTGAATTTTTCATGCTTTCAGTAAATTTTATCACAAATTGTTCTCGTTCAGGCATATTCAATATTATAAGTAAAATCCTCTCTTTGACAAATAATCAAGACAATGTAATCTAAATGAAATCAGGACAAAAACGTTACTTGTTTTTGAAGTTTAACTAGAAGTTTTACATCATTTTTGATCGACGTGACCAACTCATCTCTCCATTTTAATGCATCGTCTAAAANCAGTGATAATTAAAAATAAAACTTACGGATTCCGTTATTTGATTCATAATGTTGTCAATTTTCTCGTTCTCATTTTTTCGTTTCTCCGAAGACCAGAAGAAGTTTGTTGTACAAGTAGAAACAATCTGCAGAGCCTAAAAATGCCAGTATTTATATGAAAAATAATCAATATAAAATTAGTAAGATGTTTTATATACGAGACGTATCATAAATATAAACTTGAATGCATATTTTACACTATGATATTTAATGTAAAACGACACTTTAGGTAAAATTATCCCATTAAGGCTAGTGTAATTTGCTTCAAAGTAATCTTTTTAAAATAAAATATGAATGATTTTCAAGCTCTTGCGAAAACATAAATGTTTTTATTACAATGCTTTTAGTGTTTATTTTAAATTTGTGATGACGCAACTAATGAGACATAACAACAACTCATAAAATTAATGAAAAATTTTCATTTGATTCAAAACATTCAAAAAGTTCGTTTTTTTCAATGAAAAAACATTAATATACAATTTAATACTCTACTCTGTTTACAACCACATTTTTAAACAAATTTTCATAACTTAGTAAGCTGAATTTAAGTATTTAATAAAGTCTATGTGTTCCAGAAAAAAATAAACGTTCTTGTGGGTTCCTTACTAATAATATGGTTTTATAATAGGTATGCTTGCTTATAATGTTTATTATAAAATGGTTTGCTTTACAAAATATGTTTGTTCAAGAATGTTTTATTTGCTTTTCAGATTCGTTTAAATTTTGAATCCGAAGATTCTTTTTCCTTTTCAAGAAAACAAGGTCTTGGGAATTTTTTATGCTTTCAGTAGATTTTATCACAAATTGTTCTCGTTCAGGCATATTCAATATTATAAGTAAAATCCTCTCTTTGACAAATAATCAAGACAATGTAATCTAAATGAAATCAGGACAAAAACGTTACTTGTTTTTGAAGTTTAACTAGAAGTTTTACATCATTTTTGATCGACGTGACCAACTCATCTCTCCATTTTAATGCATCGTCTAAAATCGAACTAGTAGATTTTATTACAGATGTCTGAAAGAAAAATGCAATAATTGAGAATAATTATTGTGTCATAATTAATAAATAAAAATAAAACAATTAGTTTTCATTTCTATTGACTTTTTAACACCACTTTTCAAATAATCATCATTTAAAAGCATTGAATATGTCAACCAAGCATCTTTCGCAGTGCTCAATTTGCTTTTTTTATTTAAGGAAAAACTTATTTAAAAATTTGGAAAATAAAAACGATAACAACATGATTAGAGGTCAAATAATATCACATAAACAGACATGAGCTTCAGTACAATATTTTTTATATTTTTATTTTATAACCGTCGTTGAACAGCCGACCCAATTTTCTCGGGTTTACGACTACTAATGTTAAACTCCATAGCCTTGTAATTTTGAACCCAATCCAGAAGACAAGGGAACTCCTGGATCAAGTATTGGGAGAAATTTACCTTCGTGGAGGACTTTTTGATGGAACTAACCAGCATTTGCGTTACATGGAGAGGAGGACCACGCGAACCTCCCACGGTTAGCCTGACGGCAAGGGGACTCTAACCCATGATCCGTCTACCACTGAGGATATTTCACGTCAGCACTGTGGTCTGTGCAATCCGGATACGGAATTCGTATCGACCAGCCATCGCCGGAATCGAACCTCAGTTCACCTCATTGGAAGGCGAACGATCTTTCCCCTGAGCCATCGCGGCTCGTTAGTACAACATTGAAGTACGTTTTTTGCACAAAATGAAAAAGTGACAAAGAAAATGATTATGTGTCTGCTTACCCGTTGTTTTGGCTTTATTTGGGTACAGCTTTAAGTTAACTATTTCATTATTTGAGTTAAAACGTTTCTTGATTTTATTCCATCCGCTTGAAAGACAATTAATTATGCATTGAATCCATGAAAGCGTTTTATATAAGCGTTACGTATTTTCACCTTAAACATTTTAAGAAAACGTTACCTGTTGGGTACGGTAATAATTTATGCAAAAATAGGTAGATAATGTGAAAATCTCAACTCCATCTTAAATAATATATCTTGATAACAATTGTCGTATATTTCACTCATTATTTTCATATTATTTAAACTTATTTTTTTAATGTTTTTAGTAGCACTTAAGTAATTTGTCAAAAAAATATTGGAGGACACAAAATAAAGATTATTATTTATTTAAGATGGTAAATACTGTATCATTGAACTGGATTTATTTAGTTTAAAATATCATAATAAAGAATATGGTTGTGGCGTTAAAGGTATTTTGCATAAGTCTCTTTTCAACATCTTTCCACCTCTATTTATAATACTTTGTGTCATATGGAAAAACAGTTTTTTCAATCAATGTAAATTTCTTAATGTCACTCAGGAGAGTTACTTAAAATAAAAATAAATTTATTTGTCATTATTTTATTATTTATTCAGGAGGATTATTTAAACTGATTTTATCTGGGGAGTTATTTAACTCACCAAAAATTATTGTCACATGCTTCTGGAGAGTTACATATTATCTAGAGCAGAGGTCGCCAAAGTGGTCTATATAGACCCCCAGGGGTCTATTTTAAATTAGTGGGGGTTGATCTGAGCCAGGGGGCCGAATGGGGGTCGATCCGAAGCGGAAGGGTCGATTTGTCGAAGGATTATCAGTATTTTTCAGATATGTGACAATTAGAAATAAAAGAAGAAGACTTGGAAATATATACAGGTTATCTTCAAAAATTGAGCTACGATTTTAAACTGCGTTTTGTTGATTTGGAAAACATTGACATCCCTGATTGGATTATTGTGCCATTTTCTGCTCAAATTGAAAACGTGGATATCAACTTGCAAGATGAGCTTGCTGAATTATTATGGGGATTTGAAGCAAGGACGCTTTTTGAAAATTTCACAATAAGCAAATTTTGGACAAATATAAATATAATGCAAAAATATGTAAAACTTTACGAAATAGCTCAGCCATTTATGATAGCATTTCCAAGTTCCTATATGGTTGAAGCCGGTTTCAGTCACGTAAATTCAATCTTAACTAAGAACAGAAATAAATTAAATGTGGAGTTTCGAGGGGATTTAAGATTAAAATTGACCAATTTTGAACCCAATATAACGTACCTTGCAGGAAAAAAAAAAACACCAGGCACACCCATGTCATTGATTAAGAAGCAATAAATCCGTAGTTACTTTACTTATTATTTCTACTTACTTATAATTACTTATTATTTCATAAATATTAAGGTATTTATATTTCAACATTAATATATTTTTCATAAAACTATTGTTACACTATGTACTATTACTTTAATAAATGTTCAAAATCATAAAATAAATGTACAAACACAGTATCTAATAGAGTTTTATTTTAATTAGCAGAAAATTACTTTTATGGGGGTCGATGGAGATTTCGAAAAATTATGTAGGGGTCGATGATCAAAAAAGTTTGGCAACCCCTGATCTAGAGAGTTTATTATCCAAACAATGAAAAAAAGCTTATAAAAATTTCAAGCTGCGAAAAAAAAAATGCCGCAAAGCAGAATAATTATATCATTTAGTTAGAAGATGGATTATTTAGATACCTGTTCTTTATCACTTCCAGAAATATCAGGTTCAACATTCATAGACTCAATGCTTGAAACAATCTCAATTATCTAAAATATGAGAGAAGACACAGTTTTATTTTCATAAAATTTAAAACTTGATAGAAGATGAAAAATAAATCAATCGTATTGTACAATAACCTGCTTGTCACAATTTAAGGTTAAGCATTAAAAAAACTTTTTTGAAGTAATTACTGGTTCAAAAAATAACAATAACCTTTAGGAAAATAATTCAAATTCCAAGAATTCAAATTAAAGAATTTAATAAAAAGTATTAAGTAATAAAAGTATAAAAGTAGCTTTAAAATATTTTTTAAAGTTAAACAAATATCACACTATCTGTTTAGTTCTTCAATGCTTAAAAAATTAAAAATTATATTAAATATTGTTAATTTTTCTCAAAAAAAGTTACAAATACTAACAGTTTTGAAAAACTAAAAAAATTATTTACACGCTTAATACTTATGTCTTTCAACTAAATTTTAATTTTTTTATAATTATAAAACTATTTATAATTATTTGACTAATGACCAGGGAAAAGTGCAAGACATTGAGAATTTCGTTTCATGATATCAGAAATAAAAAACAAATTAAATGCATAGGAAAATGGAAAAAATATAAAGCAAAGCATACACTTTCTTCAGATTCAATTTCATCTTGCTTGCTTTCGTCTTGAGAAAAAATTTTCAATCGGAATTCAAAATTTTCTATATCATAAGAGACGATACTTAAATATTTTTCGAATTCTTCCTGGCATAGCCATATGACTGCTCTGATCTAAAGAAAAATGCTACAATTTTACAAAATAATGAATTATACATTAATGATACGTGAATACATCTAGGCATAATAATATTATAAATTACTAATTTATGAAGTTTAAGAATAAGAGATACAGAAAATTAAGAAAAAAAAAAGAGAAAAAAAAAACAACTTACGTCTTTGAAAAAATTTCTGCGAATGTCTTTAAGCAACTGAGAATCTTTCGATATAAGTTCTTTCTCTTTATTCAAAGAGTCCACTTCATTTTTCAAGAAATTAATAAGATCATCCAGAGTTTTGACTAACTATGTTTTTTTTTTTTTAAAAAGTAAAATAATACAATATTTTTAAGTATAATATTTATAATATTTTTTCTAATTACACACTAACAAACCTAATGAGAAAATATATGGCTAATTAAATATACAACTAAGCATGCAATAATATTGTAATTCTGAGAAATCATGTTCTTACAATCATAAGCAGTTATTCAATAAAAAACATCATATAAGAGTATAATAACTTAAAAATTGAATGATACACGGAACGAAGGGTGAATAAGATAAAGTTTAGAGAATCTATCGATTTAGGAAAATTAACCAACAAGGAGATAAATGGAGTGAAGTAAAAAATGAGGACAAAAATGATTGGAAATAGAAGAGAAGAAATTTTGAAACGGTTAGAAAATTGTAGATAATTAAACGAAAAAAAACAACAACTCGTTTCCATTTTTGAGTATGCAATGATTTTGTAATAGTCGTGATAGCTTCCTGGTTAGAAACACTGCGCTGCTACTGTGAAGGATGCGGATTTCATCCTCCAGTGGCGGAATGAAGACCGCCTAGCTTCCTATCGATGAGAAACAGTTTGTCTATGAAGTTAAGAAAAGAATTCAAAATTTTCAAAGCAATTAAAAATAATAATACTTCCTATGGAAAAAAGCGCAAAGCAGCAGTGAATCCGAAAGGAATTGAAACAAGAGAAACAATGTAAAATTAAAAAATGTATAAATATAATAAACGAAGCTGACGTCTTCAGGGAGTACCAGTTCCGGAAGTCATACAAGCAAAACCTTTTATCAAGAGAACACGACAAAAAGTCTAAAATTGCTCTCTCTGTACCCCAAAGCTTTCGCCAAAGTCCAGGAAAAGAATATAATACATAATATAAAATACATAAAGCAATTACAGAAGAATAAAAACAGAAACTTTGGGGTGCAGAGAGAGCAATTTTAGATTTTTTGTCGTGCTCTCTCGAAAGAAAAGGTTTTGCTTGTATGACTTCCGGAGCTGGTACCCCCTGAAGACGTCAGCTTTGTTTGTCATATTTATGCATTTTTTTCATATTTCATTGTTTGTCTAGGAAGTTAACTCACTGGTTGAAAATACTGATCTGCCATTGTGAAAGACTGGGGTTTGATCCCCAGTGGCAGTGAGAAGATCTCCTAACTTCAAATCGATGAGTACCAGTTTGTATAGAAAGTAATGGATACTTGTGCACCATACTGATCACATTGCCGTAATCATGACATTGGACATGAAAATCAACCCACACCCCCCCGGACAACAATGGGTTTTTGCTGAAATGCTTTAATGATTCCTTGAAATTCAGGTTAACCAAAGAAAAACGGGGTCAAAAAATTTTAGTTAAAGAAAATTCGTACCGTTACAACTAGTTTCAACAGTGGCGAAAAACAGGTTACAGTTTTTTCTTATTCTTAAATTTGAAAAAATCATTACTTTTACTCTGCCTGATAAAAAAAATAAGAAGTTCTCAAGAATATTTCGTCAATTATATCTGAACTTAAAGTTATATTTCATTGATTATAAATTTTTATTTTGTGAAGGTCTATGTAAATATTTTTTTTTATTCAATTCAGAAAAAAGTTTGGAAATTATTTGTTCAGATTTTTTGAAAATACTATTTGCTTCGTACCAGTTACAGAGAGATTTTTTTTAATTTTATTAAAACAGCATTGCTGATATTATTTTAATTTTAAATTTCTATTTCAGTGAGATCTAAAAAATATAAACAGACCAAAAAGGGAACAAACGTAACTAATATAAACAGGATCAGTACTGTTTCCTTGGAAAAAACATTTCTCAGTTCGAAATGATTGAGGGAAAAGCTGAAAATTGCTTTTAAAGTTGCTGTTTCACGATCTTAAAATTATTTAATGAATTTATTGAGTTACAGAGGGGATTAAATGTCAGATTCATCCAAAGCTAAGCGTGAAAAAATAAACTATTTATTCTATAGACCTGATTTTGAATCTGCGAAATTAAATTATTTAGCTTATAAAATCTTTTAATGTCCACTCTCTTATCACGACAAGTGAGATTTGTAAAATATCTCACTTGTCTTGATAAGAATTCAGGCTCATGAACAGGTATAAATTCAAAATTGCACTTTCAGTTCATCGTAGCTACTGAATCCATTACGACTTCTACACTATCAGCCTTATCAACTTAGTTTTGGTGTCATTCGATCATCGTAAAAGATGCATAAGAAATAATATCCCACTTGTATAGCACACAATGTTTAAGTACCCGCCCCTTTTTAACCTTATCTATTCTCAGTAAATTCAAAATGTGGTAGTCTAAAGCTCGGTCTAAAAGTCTCGGGGGAAGGGGAAAAGGTTCAAGCATCAATTTTGAACTCAAAATACAACTTTCAAAACAAGTCCTAGCTTTAGCGAAATTATTTCCATATTCAAATATTTAGAAACTGTCCTATAAAATAGTTACAGAGGATTTTTTATTGCCAATGTATTTAAAAAATACTTATAACAGAATTAATCATTCCTTAAATCGTCTCAAATAGAAAAAAATAAAAGATTTTGAAAGCAAACCTTTTCATCCGATCCTTTTTTATATGAATTTAATACTTTTAAGACTTTTTCATTCGTTTCAATTTCTTTTTCAGTGTTGCTAATGAGATGTGAGTACATGTCTTTGCACAAAATAATAATCTAAAAATAAAAAAAATTTAAATTCCAAAAATATAGCATTTCGCAGTGTACAAATTATGAAAGTAGTTTTATAGACGTAATTTTTTTTCTTAAATTTAAGAATGTTGAAATATAATTTTTTTTAAAAATCTATATTCTATTACTTAGTTACATTATTTTCCTTTCAACTATTTCTGCACAATAAAATATAAATTGAAGGACTTGGAGCAGTACGATGATATATTCGAGAAACCCTTTGAGTTCTACAACAGTATTATATTATTTAACATTATGCATCAAAAATTCGACAAAAGGAATTAAGTAACGTGGCTTGACCATTTTATTTAAAAAAAAGTGTGAAGATTAACAAAGGACTGTTTGAATGAAAATTATTTTTTATCGTAACAAGATTCATTTTTGAGATGCTCATATTTTACACTTACCTCTGGGTCAAGTCGAATATTTTCAATTTCCATTATTTGTGATTGAACTTCTAAAGATGTTTTTCTACCAGTCGTTCCCAGAATGTCTTTAAAAGCCTCATCAATTGCGAAAGACATCTAAAAGGCAATAATTTGTAGTCAATACCTAATAAGACAGAGAAAATAAACATTTTTTAAATAACGTTACTTAAATTTTTATAATAGATCCGCTGTGGCCAGGATAGATAGGTTGGCAGGGCGCTGGACTGAGTTTCGAATTCAGCAGGTCGAAGACTCCCCGTGTTGTAAATGGTGACTTGTACTCGTTAAATATGTCGGGTCACAAAGTCCTTCATGTTTCCATAATATATTATACCTCTGGTGAACTGAAATGGAGATTGATCGTTATCTAGTTCAGATCAAAATTACGATCTGTGGATGAATGAATGGATACATAAATGGATGTATGAATGAGTCTTCCCAGTAAAATAGACTATGTCGTGTGTGTGGCTGAAGTCGTACTCTTGGCTATAGATGGCGCAGCGAGAAAAAAAGAACAATCGCACTCCTTGCTTCAATGACCTGCGATAACATCAACAACAACAATGGATCCGCTTTCTCAAACAAACTTCTAACATAAAACAACTCAGTTACCTCTTGAGCTACGAAACTAATAATTTATATAATTCCTTATCATGTCGTAAAATAACACGAGAAAAAATAGCAAGAAAACCATTTACTACTGCTATAAAAGAAGGACTAAAAACTTGAAATTTGTTATTTCAAAGTATTGTATTCAAATATTTGTTCTAAAATATGAAAAAAATGCATTGATAAAAATATTTTAGCATCGAAACTTTTTTATATTTTACATAAATCTATCTCATTAAAAGTAGCTGAATGCTACATACAATCAAACTTGCTTTATTATTGAGATAATGACAAATGTAAAGCAATGTATGACAACACTATGTTATACGTTGCATGCAAAGGTGGTTGTCTAATGTAAAATGTTGACAGAATTTACAGTTTTATACAATTATATTAGTAACTATATCACTAATTATAGCAACTAATTGTATTATCACAGCACGAACAAAGGTTTTGAAACTAAACCATTGTCGAAACAGCGAGTTGCTGCCTAAGAGTGTCTTGGAGTTAATGATCTATAATTTTATGACTTACGGCAAGATGTTGGCTATGTTGTAAGAATTGCAAACTGGACACATTTACATCAATCTGAAGCTGGGTGAGCTGTAAGCCGACTCGAGCTTTAAGTTCTGATATCGAATGCCGGACCATTACAATGATACTTCAGAGTCTTATCTACTACTAAACTAAACTCAGCACCGAAAATGCTAATGCTAAAAATGGTATATTTATCTCTGCTCGAAATTTGTTTACTGTTTCAGTGAAGCTTTAATTTCATTTTTTTATTTAAAAAACTAAACTCAGTGGCGCGACAGCCCATAGAGGGCCAAGGCCTACTGTGCCCATCTCAGTTTTCTTGACATTGGGCTCTGGGGTGCAGGAGCAGATGTTCCGGTAAGGTGGTCAGCCGAACTCGAAAACCCCAGTGTTTAGTTCCCAAGAATGCTTGGTACACATTTATCGACCCACTGAAGGGATGAAAGGCTGAGTCAACCTTGCCCGGCTCGAGGATCGAACCCAGGACCTGTGGCACCGGAGCGCGAAGCGCTACCACTCAGCCACCTGGCATCATAGTCTTAACTACGCCATTAGAAATTTCTCGGAAAAAATGGCTAAATAATTATATAATTTATTTTACCATATTCAAATAAAATGGACAAATAACTGTAAATAAGATGGCAAGCAAAGTGGTAACTGTGAGAAAAACAGTTTATCAACTGTTTTCACCTAATACAGTAAAACAATCCAAATTTTATCGCACCAACTAAGCTTACCAATTATTCACTTAGCTCATTGCAGCTGCATACATATTATAGCCGGGAGAGCTATTCTGTCAGTCTCTGAGTTTCAAAACCGGCAAGAAGGTAAAAAATGTTCTTTACCCTAAACTTTACGGTTGCTTGCAAATCGACTGCTGTCTGTTATTTTGCCATAATTTTAGAATAAAATCTTTAACAGTGTACCCTACTAACACGACTAACAACTCCTATAAATATTTTTTAAAAGGGAAGAGTAATTCGTCTATAAAAAGGCTTTAAATTTGAAGCAAATACTTGAATCAATACAAGCTTCAAATACTTGAATTTATTTTACTGTTAAAAGTCTTCGGTAATGGCCTCTTAAAAACAGTAAATAACATTTTAGAATATTGAGTTTAGCAATTCAAATTTCAAACTTTCTAAAAATTAGCAGTCTCAAAGAGTTTTTGAAACTTAAAACTTTTGAAAAATAAAAATCAGTCATCATTTCACTCTCTTTATAAATGAGAACATTTCTTATAAACTTATATAATAATTCTTATTTCTTATAAATTATATACACATACTTTGGCATCAACATATTCTCCAGTGTCTTGTAACGGATCAGATAAAAGTTTGATTTCAGAAATCTCGTTCCTTCTCGTACTAATTGCAGATACGAAAAATTCTTCGCATATTGAGTAGAGTTTTTCATTCTACAATAAACTCATTTTTATTCTTTATTAAATTAACAAGTAAAGTTCACTAAGTGTCACTCATTAAATATAATAATTTTTTTTAAATATTTTTAAATTAGCACATTTATCATTAATCATATTTCTATATTGTTGAAAAATATTTTTTTAAAAATTGTGGACGTTATTAGGCTATAATATTTACTAATTTTTATATTCGCGAAGCATGTAATACTTGATGAGCTTAAAAGTTTCTTTTTATTTAAGTTAAAGCAAATTTTATTTAATTGTGCGACTGCTACAAATATAATGTGTGATGCCTAATATTTATTTTATTTCAATGCTGCGACACAAGAGTATTTAAATACTTCTACAAAACTACTACAATTAGGTAAAATCAAACGTGTTTCTTGCTGTAAGAAAACACCAAAAAGAGCACTTTGGAAATGACCTCGAAAAACTAACGATAAAAAAATGGTTTAAAACTAGGTAAATGTGGAAAAATTGTGAGATAATTTTTCAATGATATCTTAAAGCATGGTATAAAAATTATCTATTCGATTAAATTTACTCTTCAGCTTTGTAGTTTTTACTAAATGTGTGGACATTGATAAATAAACAGATAATATTGCTAAATATAATTTCCGGAAACCGTTACCATATGAACAGAAAATTACCACACGAACGTTTTGAATACTGTATATTATAACCTTATTAACCAGAACAATGTTTTTTTCTTTTTCTTTTTTTTGTTGCCAGAAATGTCATTACCATAAAGCAGGGGTGGACAACTTGCGGCTCTCTTAAAAATTATTTGTGGCTCTCGATAAAATGTACCCGAGTTCCCTTTTCATTTTTGTGCTATTGTATTTTAAAAAATAATTATCGTTCCGTATGTGTTTCAAAATGTCTTTTAAATTACTGAGAACAAATATGAAAGACGTTGTTCAATTCAAGGTGAGTCTTCTATTTCCAATATAATTATGATCCAAAAAGCATCTGGAAAATTAGAATGAATAGAGATGCAAGAAGGCTGCTTGTCGAATTATTTCAATAATCAGAACAAAGTATTTATGTGAATCATTTTATTTCACTTTAAAACTCATAAAACCGAAAAAACCGATCAGTATTAACTAACCAGTATCTCAAAGAATTACTGAGAAGTGCTGTCACCAATTATTCACCAAATTTTGAAGAACTATCAAGAGAAGTAAAATAAATGTGTTAAATTTTTAATATTTAAATTCAATACACATATTTTGTACTTTTATTTACATGTTTTCAATAAATATAGTTTATGTAAAAAAAAAATTGTAATACCTTTTTTGCATAACTTTTAAATACATATTTAATTGCGGCTCGCGAAAAATTTCAAATTTTGAAAAAAAGGCTCGACTATCAAGGAGCTTGGCCACTCCTGCCATAGAGTATTGTGATTTTATCAGAATCTAATTCTCCGTGTAGGTCTTATATTTAAGCTTATTTGAATGTTCATTTTGAGATATAAAGCTTCCGATTCTCATGATTATATTATTCTTTTCCTATGTTGTCCCATTTTTGGTGCAGGAAATAAGTTAGAAGTAAGCTTCTGTAGGACAGCAGAAATAATCTGGAGTTAAATTAGTCTTAAATTACGATAGAAATAACATGTATGAACGTGAAAGTGAGACTAAATTATTTATTGAATAACTGAAGTTTGATCACCATTCAAAACATATGTTCTAAAAAAACTAAAATGTAAATATAAATAAAGTACTTTTACAGTTTTTGGGTACAAAAATTTACTGATGATAACAATTATTAAAAGTAATGTCTCATTTATACAATTTTTCTGATGTCGTTTCAATAGCAGACTACGTATTTGTTTCCCGATTTATCAATTATAATTTTTTATTTTCACTTGCTTACCTAGTGGGAGATTTCATGAACTGCTAAATTTGTATTTGAATGATAAAATTTAATTTTTAAAATTAATTATTAAATTATTTAAAATTAATCATTTAAAATTTAATTTAAGTCATTAAAATTTAGTTTAAATTTAGTGTGATACTTTACATGGACTTTTCACGTCAAATTGCTATTAATGTTTATTTAATGAACGAAAGTCATTTTGTTTTCATAACTTATTTAATTTTCCCTTAAAAAACTTTGCTAATGAAAGCTCTCAAATTATGGATAGGAACACTAATCATTAATGGACTTTCTAAGCGAACATCAATTCCCAAATAAAAGTTCACAAGGGTGAACTGATGTTATATGATCATGCTTCTATTACATGATTGATTGAAGACAGGAGACCCAAAAAATTTTTTTGGCTATTTGGTTGAAGCATTTTCATTGTAACTTTTATTAGCAGCCATGCATATTATAATTTACAGTGCAGGTTGGCAATTAAGTCTTTTGTTTTGAACAAGATTTACTTTGTATTATATTACGTTTTACTTTGTATTTATGTTAGGTTTCTAAATTCGCAAAGAAAATTTTCTGTGAATGGAGAAATACCGGATATCTCTACATATAAAATTTCAGTCCAAAATAGAGCTTCGTTATTATATTAATGTGTACGTAGCAACGACGACAGTATTTTGTTCCCGTGTATTTATCTGTTTTTCAAAAGCTTGCTGATGTTTGGTTATTCTGTTGAAAAGATAAACAAGTTACTTACTTTATTCAAGATGATTTTTATTTAGTATTTTCATAAGAAATTTAATCTCGAATAAAATATTTCTTAATAAGATGCTCTTTGTATTGAAGTTTGTCAAATTGTAAAATTTACCTGCGACTTTTCGTTTCTTTCAAGATAAGAGTTCAGTATGTCAAGTTCAGATTCTATTCTTTCAATTATTCTTTCGTGAAGTTGCTTGCAGCTCATAAGAACTTCGAGGGTCTACATTTTAAAGTAAGGTAAGGCAAAATAAATCAACGCAATGAAAATAAGCGAAATTAAAAACGCTCGTCGAATAAAAAATAAATAAATACTTACATTTTTATTTTTATTTTCCATGCTCGAATTGAGAATGACAACGTTTGTTTTTAGATTAGTCATTTTTTCATTTATCATTTTAATGCTGTCATAAATAAACTCCTTACAGCTATCAACCTCTTTACGCATCTAAAAAAAATATTAAAACTACTTCAAACTAAGACATTCAAACTAAGTTAAATCAATTTTGAATGGGATAGTTAATACTAGTAGATATAATGCAAGTGTACAGAACAGAAAATTAATGTTCAAAGTTTTTAAATTCATCAAAAACGTGAACATTTAAGTGCTGTTATTATGAAATTCGAAGATATCATCATTATCAGATAAAACTTGATGAATTTTTCTTTAACATTCCAATACTCAGGTATCGTCAGATGGGGTGACTTTGTGCAAATAGTCATTTTTTCAATTTTTGCGTCGTGTCATCTAGGGGTATTTTTTTAAGCTCGGTATCAACTGATTTGAGTTGTCAACATAACGAACTAATGGTTCACCGAGAACTGGATATGTAAGCATCATCCTTATTGGAAAATTGTGAGCTCAACTTACAAACAGTTTTAATTTTTTTAACGTCGCAAAATCGGTTGCTAGAAAGTCTGCTCGGTTGAAGAAGTTCTAGTTATCCTAGGTAGGTTATACTTTAAAAGTCTTATCTATTGAGATAACAAATCATGCATATTTTTTTGTTTTTAATTATTATAATGTTAGTAATTGAAAAAATGACGGTTCGCACAAAGTCACCCCATCTGACGGTACTTGAGAAACAGTTGAACCTCATCTGTATCTTCATCAAAGATCACAATATCTTTTGGGTAAAAATAAAGAAACAGTTTTAGCCACTGGGTTCCAAGTCTTAGGTATCGGATGAGTGCAGGCGATGATGTTCTATTGAAACTGGCAATAAAGCAACAGACAGGTGAACATCGTGTGAGTAACCAATCTGAATTATCCATCTAAGTTCTATCAGAATTTCGCAGAACCAGCCAGCATTTATTGTATTTTCATAAGGCAAAAAGTATTGCAGAAGAAATATTATTGTTTAGTGCCGAGGTTAAACATGCTGTACAACGCGTTCTCAACAATATGGCGGAAAACTGCTGGGACGCAGGTTTTAGTAAAATTGATAAAGCATCTACAAAATGGATCGAAGTTGCAATTATGTTTAAGATAGATAAATGCTAACGTTTGAGCCGCGATGACTCAGGGGATAGAATGTGAGGTGAACCGGGTTCGAATCCCACGATGGCTGGTCGATACGAATCCGCATCCGACTTGCACCTCGCGACCACAGTGCTGACATGAAATATCCTCAGTGGTAGAGTCCCGCAGTGAACTGATCGTTAAGACACATTCCCAGCAGATCACCGAAGTCAAGCATCACTGGCTGCGATCAGTGTGTGGGTGGGTGACCACTTGGATTAGTGTGCGTAGGGACCGAAGGTGTGTGGTATTGGTCCTCGTTAAACTGTGCTACCGTAAAGTGCTCGACTTCGCATGCAGGTCGTTGGGCTACCGAAGCGGGGGAGCCATCCCCTCTGCAGAGGATCAAAATTGTGATGGCATGTCTTCGGATCATCCTTAGGGATGTTTCCCAGACCGTCGCCAATAGCCCATTGTGCAGCTCTAGTGCGACGTAAATGAACTACAACTACAACTCCTCAGTGGAAGACGGATCATGGGTTAGAGTCCCTTTGCAGTCAGGCTAATCGTGGGTGGTTCTCGTGATTTTCCTCTCCATGTAACGCAAATGCGGGTTAGTTCCATCAAAAAGTCCTCCACGAAGGCAAATTTCTCGCAATGGAATATCCAGGAATTCCTTTGTCTTCTGGATTGGGTTCAAAATTACAAGGGTACGGAGTTGAATATTAGTAGTCGCAAGCCCAAAAATTGGGTCCGGTGTTCAACGACAGTTATAAAATATAAAATGCTAACGGTTTAAAATGATGTAAATGTTAATATAAACCGATTTTTTAAAAATAGAAGAATTTATTTGGGCGATTAGTCTCGTCCCCATAAGCTAAACACTTCAGCAATGATACTATTAATGTTGAGTAATTCACTTATGGTTTTGAAAGGTCAAGTCAAAAATGAAGGTATACTTATGTATAGAGCGGATATAATTGCCTGTTAAATGAACCTGTTCATTTGTGTTTGTTATTTTATTTTATTCGTGTATGACGTTCCGCTTCCTGTATAAAAGTACACGCTTGACATTAAAAGTTCACCCAAGTAGAAGAATTTTAAATGCTTTAAATTTTTAAGAATCTTTTTTGTTAAATTACTAGATATTTGAATAATTTTTTTTATAAGGAATGCATTACTTTTGACATCAGTTCTTCTTTTTCAGAACATACTATATTCGTAACTTCTATCAAGTCATCACAGATAGTAGATTTCTTTGATAATCCATTCCACAGAAAGCTTTCAACCGATTTCAAAGCACCAGAAACCTGAAAATGAAGGTTTTTTTTAATCATATATATAAATATTTATTACTTTAGAAATAAGTATTAATTGCAGGAGCTATTTAAATTCCACACGAACAATTTATAATTTTCATATTATAAAAGATTTTGATTCAATTATTTTAATTATAAGTGAACAAGTTTTAGCAATTTGAGCTTCATTAAAAAAACAGTATTTTAACTGTACTTCGTAAACAGAATCTGTATATTGCAAATAAACTTAAAATACAGTAGGACTAAATGGTTTTTAGTCATTATTTGTTAGTTTCAGGCAGAAACTCCGAGCTTAATAAAGTGAATAATTTTTAGTTATGTTGCGTACGTAATAATTGTCTATCTCAGAGTTTCTCAAACTTTTTAGAGCAGCGTTCTCTTAAAGTCAATGTTAAAAAGTTTCGTATCTTTTTTTCAATCAATTTTATTTGAATATTCTTAATAAAAATTTTTTTCCATTGTAAGTAGGATATAGATATTTTGTACCTGAACCTTATTTTCAAAGAAATTTGTCATGGGATAACTAACAATAAAATGTAGTTAAATATTTCCTCGGTACTTGTAAAAATTTTTAAGACAACCTCATTGGAAATAAAATAAAAAGCTTTAAATTGTTGCATAAACTAAATAAATCTTCTCTAAGTATTTTTATTTTTTTAAATAGAGCTTAGTTTTTAATACAGTTTAGATTGTATTTTTGTGAATGGTATCAGTTTTTCTGTTCCCATTATTCAAAATTTTTTTTTCATTCCGTTTTAACCCGTGTGGTAATAGAAATTAAACGCCACAACTACGGAGGTAAGAATATTTGTTAACTTCAAAAGTGATGGTGATAAAATCCATTTATCAATTTTAAAATCAACCAGAAATTTACAAATTTGTTATACAGACAAAATTTAAAAATCATGATTTTATGACGAAAACGAAAGCGTGAAAACCGTTCTATTTCTACCACAAATGCATATTCGTATTAGAAGATAAAGATACTATGTCACAAATGTTACATTTTTCAAGTTGAATGATCTTTTCACTGGTTTAATTGTACTATTGTAGAGCATTTTAGGAGGACTCTATATCACTAGCGAAACTTTTCATCGCAAATTCTGTTTTACAACCATTATTAAGTTAAAATTTAAGAACATAGAATAAGCGTATTCAGACAAACCTAAGCATGAAGCAATTGCTGAAAACATCAAAATTCAAGCAAATTATTGGAAGAGAACTTCTCCATAGCGTAATACGTTCATAATTTGTTTTCCTTTAGAAAATTTCTTTTCAGTATTTAAAACTTCGTGGCTTACTCTAGGTTCGTCTAAATTTACTGCTCCTATAAATTAAATCTTAAACTAAAAATTATGGAGATGAAAGAGAATTTAGATGTAAAGTTTTTCCCGTGGTATTGCTTTCTCTTGCTGATATTGTGCCTTCATTACTAAAAAAATTGAGCTTTACATATTTAATTGCTTCACATTACTTAAATACTTCACATTCTGGTTTAAAATTAATTCGAGAATTCAGAGCCAAAAAAACAAGTTTTTCCATAAATTAAATAAGTAATCCCGAGGGGAAAAAAATCGAAAAATTATTCTGACCTAACATAAAATTACCCCTTATAGCACGTGTGAACGGGATGACTTACAAAAGTTTCTCCTTAAAATTCCCTAAAATATAGGATGGAGCATATAGATTTTGGTGTTAAGTTTTTAGCTTTAAAATGATCGAATATATTATAATTTTCTTTCACTCGGATGCTTGCTTTATTTTTTTATTGGCTAGCTTGAAAGACAGTTATAAAGTTAGCTAAGCGTACCTTGCCTTAAGCGTAACAGTGCAAAAATATTAAGTCTATCTGCACCTTGTGGGCAAATGACCAAAGATATCACAGATTTGTGAAATACCAATGATTAAAAGTTCATAATTCTTAAATTGATAAAAAATAAATAAATGTAAATAGTGAAAAATACCATTTTTTCTAATTCTTCAGTAGAGCCCAATACCTTCTTCAGGTTCTTCATTTGGTTTTGGATACTGCGTATTTCTTCCTCCCGATGGGATATAATGGATTTAACAATCAGTCCGGAATTCACGAGATTAGTATTTACCTATTAAATGTATAAAAGTATAATCATAAATGATTATTCTTTAAAAATGTCAAGAACTAAATGCTTGTGAAGGAAATAAAGCATATAAAGAAAATATAAATATAGTTTATATAAATATATAAACATCTTGCTGCTATAATGCCTGCAATATATACTGCCGTATATTAGAAAAATTAATAAAAGCGACAAAAAAATAAATATATATATCAAAAATTGAGATTTTTATCTATTTTCATATTTGTATGCAAGCCATTTATAATTTTTTTTCAAAAATAAATTTTGTTCTTCCATTTTTCAGAAACTCTATTTTAGCATTCATAAAGTTTCCAAGGGAAAGAAAATAGTTATCTCGAAACCTATCGTGCAGCAATTACGATGTTTTTTTAATTGCAAGGAAGTAAAAATGCTGATCCTATAATGTCTACTTAATTCAATTGTCTAATGCATATGAAAGTACAATGATATTTTTGGGAGATAAATTACTTTTCTTAATTGAGATTTAAGCATAAATTTCTGCCAATAGATTTGTTTCGAATATGCTTTTTTTACGAATAAGAAAAGTTGCACGAATGCTAAGAAGATTATTTTAATGTAATTTATATTAAGAAAAAAAACATGTAACTAAATTATATGTATTAACAAGCAATAATAAAGAAGAAAAAAAAGACAAAAAGTTTTTATGTATTACATAGAATAAGTCTTGAACTTATATGTTAATTATTTATGTATCACACTGCTAAAAAAGGACGATAAACTACCTGTATATGGCAAAAATTATTGTGTTTCTGGCTCTATAGGAAAACCAAAAAACTCGCTAAATTTTACAGAAGTGCTTTGGTCAAGAGTTTGGTAAAATAATAAAATGTGGTTTTATAAAATATAGTAAAATTTGGTAACTTTATCATGATACCTTAAAGCATGGCATGAAAAATATTTGTACTAAATTTGCTTTTCAGTTTTGTATTTTTTTATAAATGTGTGGTAATACGAGCTATAATTTTAAAAACCAGAATAACCGTTAACCGTTCCCTAAGAACTAAACATATTGCAAAGTGAATGGTTTACATACTGTACATTTTTATTTCCAATACTAGAACTATGTTTTTTTTTCTTTACCAGCAATGTCATTACCATACAGTAAGGAAATTTTACCAGAATTTTTTTTCTATTTAAAAATAAAGTTTTGCCATAGTTAACAAACTGACATAAATTTTTTTTCAACAATTAAATTTTTTTAGTGAAATAATATGATATGAGTATAAAATATCAACTAACAATGTTCTAACTTTGAAATTCGATGAAAACATACCTCTTTATTTAAGAGAGAAGTCAAACCGTCATACGTGTTTAAATTCAGTTGAAACCTCTCCAACCGTCTTTCATTTAAGCAATGTTGTAAGAACGTAGAGCATTGATCACGGTGATTCAATAACTGAAATAATAGCAATTGATAGTGAGTGATTGATAGTGAAATAACAGCTAGTTGTAAAGATTTAAATCAAAAACAATTTTTATACCTTTCTATTATGATCAGTTTCAACAGATTTGAATTTTCCCAAAGTCTGATTTACATGTTGAATACATTTTACATTGATTTGTTCTATGGGTTCCTTACCCGCGCTGTTGAAATATCCACTAAATAAAGACTGAAAAATATAATTAAAATCATGTTTCAGCAAAAATGTTTATTTATAGTTTAAAAAAATATCAGTATGTACTATGCATGGAATATGATTTAACAATTGAAAATAACAAATACTAAAGTTCTAGGAGAAAATATTTTAGAAAGTGTTTCCAAAATGATCAGTCACCAGCCTTAGCACCAAAAAAAAAAATTCACAAGCAACAAAAAGTTATAATTTTAATAAAAATGTTATAGATGGAAATAGATAGTTAACACTAGATTGCCTAAATAAGTCATTTTGACTGCTTTTAATTTCAATTAGAAAAACAATGATGTATATAGTGACATAATTTCTTAGAATTTTGTACAACATATAATTTTTTTATTGTTAATATTTACTAATAACTTGATATATAACTGTAAATAATATAAAAAATATTGAAAATTAATTTTAAGCAAATTTCTTTACACATTATTTATTCTTTTACAATCCAATTATTTTGACTGCTTTTGGGCAATATAGGTATATACTAAATTTTAGTCTTTCTAGTGTTAAACACTTCAGATTCGATCACTATCTATTTTACTGATCACGTTTGATTCATTACTTCATTGAAAAATTAAAAGTCAACTAGTGCAGTAAAAGTCAATTTTTTTTTTGTGAAGTACTATTTTAAAGATGATAGTGACGTTAAAAGTAAGTCCTTCAGTCTAGCGCACAAACTGATGTTTACAAGCATGTTGCACACATAGCATTTATCAAAAGTCGAATCTCGATCTGATTTTTTATAACTGGACAATAGCAATTTGAAGTTATTTTAACTTTATTGCTTGTTAAGTTATAAAAAGTTCTCGAAGAGTAAATTAATTTGCCATTCAAATGTTGTGAAATAATCCAGATGAATTTTTCAGATAGAGTTTTCACAATGTTCATACCATTTCTTTTAAACATAGAATTACTTTTTTTTAAATAAGAAGAACAAAAGAAGCACTTAATCGTGTGGTTTTTGTTTGTAGTAATATTATGCAAAATATTATACAAAATAAGTAAGCAATATTATACAGAAATAACTATTAGGAGGGACAAAAGAATTTTTTAAAACTCACTTTGAGCTCTCCTAATTTCTCAAATTCTTCATTAATTACTTTATTTTCTGCTTTTCTCTTTCGAGAGATTCGAGACAAATATTCTTTTGCTCTTGTAAGGTTAGACATGCCCTAAAAAGTACACATTCATAATTGTGTACGATAAATTATTTAAATAAAAATTGTTTTACATATACAGTCTCAGAATATCTTTAATAAATAACAAGATAATATTATTTAAAGATTGCTATAGATTCGTAATATTAAAAAGAAAGACAAAGCAGATTGATTATGCTTAAATTGCATTAAAAACGAACATTTAGATAAACCAGAAAATGTCAGCGTATGCTACACTACATTGGCCCAAAGGAGAAAGTTCTAAGATAACGTAATCAAGACGACGATATAATCAAATTTTTGTCGCTTTTTGGGATAAAAATTGAATATTCGAATAAATTTTCAAAACTAAGCGTGCTTAGAATTGTAATAATGTTTTCCAATCAAATCAACCAATCAAGCAAAGTAATGATGATTGTAAAATGTGTAATGAAGGAAAGGTATAATACGACATTGTAACACGTGCGAAATTTGTTTTGAACCTTATTGCACATTAGAGTTCAAAGATAAACAAAAAATGAAAGAAATTGTCCTTACAATTTCAAAATAGGATATAAAAAAAAAACAGAAAAAAAACAGATGAAAAACAATCTGCAGATGCTCTTATAATCTGCAGCTCCTGATGCCGAACAGGAGGGATATCAGGC